TGCCCCACCCTCTGAGGTGGTGAACAGTTTGAGCCTTTGCCCCTTCCCCCCAAAAAAACCCTCTTGGGTTAGTAATTGAGGACAAACCATTTGTGTCCCCAGGGATTTTCTTGTTAATTCATGAGACAAATAATTATTGACTACAGGCAGACCTTGGAGATGTTGTGGGTTCAGTTCCAGGCACCGCAGAAAAGTGAATCTTGCAATAAAACGAGTCATATGAATTTTTGGGTTTGTAAGTGCCTATAAAAGTTAGGTTTACACCATGCTGTAGGAGCTCTGGTGGAGTAGTGCCTAAGGAATTTGACTGCTAACCGGAAAGTTGACGGTTCAAACCCACCAGCCACTCTGCAGAAGGTAGATGGGGCAATCTACTTCCATAAACATTTACCACCTTGGAAACCCAATGGGGGTCACTCTGAGTCGTAATCAACTTGATGGCAGTGGGTTTGGTTTGGTTGGTAGTCTATTAAATGTGCAGTAGCATGATGAAAAAGTTTGAAATACATGAGAATGGCCAAAGCGTGACAGAGACACTAAGTGACCACATGCTATTGGAAAAATGGCACCTACAGACTTGCCTGACGCAGAGTTGCGACAAACCTTTAATCTGTAGAAAACGCAGTATCTGCGAAGTGTAGTAAAGCAAGTGCAGTGAAGCGAGGTGCTTCTAGAAGCTTTAAGGTACCACAGATGAAGATGATGTGGCCCCATCCGTCAGGGAGCCTCAAGCCCAGCAGGGACAGGTAATGGGCCGTGTTTTCTTTGTGGCTGTAATAAGAATGGTTGAAGCAGGGTTATGTAAGAGTGAAGACAGTCTGTCCTCATTATTCATGGATTCTGTTTGTGAATCACCTGCGTGCTAAAATTGACTCTTCACCCCAAGACCCATACTTGCAGCCCTTTGGTGGTCATTCAGATGACCGCACAGAGCGGTTCTGTCACCAGCTTTAAACATTTAGCAGAGGAAATGGAAAAGTGAAGGGTAAGTGGTAACAGGCGTTTTTACTTCCGCGTTATGAGGTGTTGTGGAAGAGGAAAGTGTGCCTAAGAGAGAAAAGAAGGGGGCCAGAGCTGAGCTCAGTAACACGGACAAACAGACTTATTTATTAGCACACCTTTTTTAATAGGATTTTCCAGATGTGGGAAAAGTTAAACATAGCTTTATGAAGAGTATTTCACTTCCTACACAGAAGTCTGATACGTAGGGATTGTGACCATCTCTTCTTTCCCATGATTAGTGGTGAAAACCTTTCACTTGCTGCCCTGAAAATAAGGGTGAAGACATCATTTTCTAGTGAAAGATGTGATCTAGTTTTGTTGAGTGACATCTTAGGGTCTTGGAAACTATTCCTGCTGAGAGTTTTAGAGCCTCATGGTTTGCCATGAGGGGCTGTATCAGTTACCTACTGCTGTCGTAACAAAGTGCCACGCCCTGGGGGTCTTCTGAGAACAGAGACGTATTCTTTCACAGTCTGGAGTCTGGGAGTCTGAGAGCAGGTTGGCGGCCATGTTGATTCCTGTGAGGCTCTGAGGGAGGACTTGCTCTAGGCCTCTGTCCCAGTTCTAGTGGCTCCAAGCATTCCTTGGCTTGCAGCTGTGACGTCACGTGGTGTCCTTCCTCTGTTCCCTTTCTCTGTCTCTTCTTCTATAAGGACACCAGTCATAGAGAGTAGACACGACTTCCTCTAGTATGACCCCACGTCACCCTAGCTGATAACCCTTCAAAGACCTCTTTCTGAACAGGGCCATGTTTACATGTACAGGGTTAGAATTTCATCATCTTTTTTTTGGGGGGGGGGGTTACAATTCATATATTCTTTCATACAACTGGCCAATATTTAATTATGTTAAGTTCTTCATTTTGGCCTCCAGCTCTTCGGCCCTGGTGGGCCCCAGCCAATTCCTAACCTCGCCTCCAGGGTGAGCCCCCAGTGGTGTGCTGCCT